TATATATTATATATATATATATATATAATATATATATATGTATATGTATATATATATATATATATATATTCATACATATATATATATATATATATATATATATATATATATATATATATATATATATATATATATATATATGTGTGTGTGTGTGTACGATGCACGTGGTCGCGCGCCCATTTATGCGGCACATTGCAAGGGTCATATCAGCGCTCGGTAGTCGTAGCACAAACGGGATTCGAACTCACACCTAACCCACGTGGACTTAATCACTTTCGTATCGGTTTCCAACCAGGTGCACGTCGAAGCACGTTGATGCTTGGCACTCATATTTTGTCATACGAAGTGACTGGCTTCTAAGAATATATGCACCGCGAAAATCATAAATCAGAAGCAGATCTCGAACCCCTCAGCGTAGCGTGCGGTGTCAAAAACGTGTTTATTACAGGCGTAATGCCTTAAATTCTGATGTCGAGCCTTGTCATCCTGGAGTCGCAACAGCCGGAAAAACATTTAGGGCCCTTTGACCCACGCATTCGCATATTTGCGAAGGCTATGCCCAGCTCACCATAAAATTAGGTCGATCAGCCAATGTATTTTCCAAGATACACGCGGTGCCCCTCCCCTCCGCTTGGAAGATTGGACACGGTTTCGGCTGGCCAATCCCTATTTGTGGGATTCCCAACCAGCTGCTAATCCGAACAGCATTCACAGAGTCCTACACCATCTGTTTCGCGTGATCTCTGCCTTAAAATGAGCTGACGCACTTCACCGCCCCCCTCGCCAGAGGTCCACCAAGCCGCCGCTCCCGTGTCGCCGCTGCCGCGTGAGGTTTACCAAACCGCCCGCTCCCCGCGTCACCTCGCACGTTTCCTCGTCGCCCCCCGGTCCGCCTCCCCCCCCCCCCCCCCCCCCCCCCCGGGCTACCTCCTGACCGTGCCCGACGGCGTCGGCGGTATCGGACTCCCCGGGTGTCGGCGGCGGCGCAGCGCCCGTCGACGCCGGCGCCATTCGTGGCCGGCGGCCGACGCGATGCGGAGGTGGCTCGTCGTCGGCGCCGTGCTGGGGCTGCTGAGGCTGGCGGCGCCGGGCCGCGGCCCCGACAGCGCGCTCAGGGCGGCTCTCAGGGCGGCCCACCTGCGGCTCGGCCCGGCTCAAGGTCGAGCTGGGAGGTGACCTGATGCTCGGCGGCCTGATGATGGTGCACGAGCGCGAGGACCCCTGCGGACCCATCATGCCTCAGGGTAGGTCCGCGGCCATCAGCGGGCAGGGCCGCACTCTGGGTTGACGGTGGGCATCAACGGTGGCACAACGGGTGCATGCTGTGTACAGCATAGCACTGCAGCCCATAAGGCAGCTCGACAGCTTATCGCTATCATTCTAATGTGTTTGTTAATTTAGAGTGGTATGAATTGTATTTTGTATTCTGCGTAGTATGTAGTTTTGCGTTCAATTTCGTATTCTATCTTGTATGAATTGTATTGTAGGTACCCTACATCTGTTTGATGCAAGTTAAATCAATGAGACGTTTTTACAGAATACTCTGTCGAATAGTGGGTTTTTTTCATTTTTTGTTCGCATTTCGATTCTAAACATGCGTTAGTTGTTTCAAATCCAGGCACACGAAATACCATTTGATGGCTTCAGGGCACAAGCGCAAATCCGGTAAAAGACAGAAAAGCTTCTCGCCCAATTCAGTATTACTAGCAACACAATGCCGGGGTTCGAGCAAGCACGCCAGCTTATAACTACTGCAGCACACTTCTGCGATACAAATACTTTTTACATCAGATGTGATCAACCGTTTTGTCCGCAGGTACATGACAAATATTTCTATCTCAAATGTATGATGCTGTTTTACACACAAGCGATGTGTACCTACAGCTGCCATGAGCCTTAGTTTACCCCACGAACACATGCATCTGCGCACACAGCACACAGCACACAACACATAACACACAGCACACAACACAATAACACACAGCACACAACACATAACACACAGCACACAACACATAACACACAGCACACAACACATAACACACAGCACACAACACATAACACACAGCACACAAGCCTTTCGGTCGGAGCGAGTGCTCCGGAAATGTTCTATTACAGCTCCCTCGGTCCAAGATCAACCGCGGACAGGCAACGCAATTTTCGTGTGACCACATTGCACCGTATTCCTCTTTGCTCCTCTCAAAACATAAGCTCCCCGCATCATCATCTGGCGCTTCTAATTTTACATTGCACCGCTCCACATCAAGGTATTCACGGTGAAATTCTGCAAAATATGCATGCACCACGGTCACCATGTTTACGTAATGAGCTAAACGGGCTGAACAAAATATTGTGCAGCCATGATCGCTGTTCGCTCAATCTGACATCAGCGAATTTTCAAAAAGGAATGCCTGCAGTGACGGTTCCTGAGGTCATGCAAACGCTCATGTCGTAAATGTTTGTTCCTGCCGTTTGAGAGCTTTTGCTGTTGGCTGTCGGCAGAAATTCTGACAAGTTGTTTCCAAATACATCGGGTGTTTGTCTTTATCGGAAGCACCAGCATGCGTAGATGCTGTGCTTGTTTATGAGCAGTGTCGTTTTGAGCGTCCTTGCGAACACGTTTTAAATTGAACCATTCTCAGTGAATAAATATTATTTTTAGGGTCTGGAGGGCGGCAAGGCTTGTTTCGTTCGCCTTCTGAAGGGCCCTTAGATGGAGCGTTTCGCCATTACCTCGGCCCTAAACTTCTTGCCTTGGCCCTAAACTGTGGAACGACATTATGGTTTCATATTTTTCCAAGAATAACTGATATCTCTTCATCACAACCATCGCTAAGAACATCATCCGCAAGCATTTCATGAATATATTTTAACGTAACCAACACACTGGAAGATATTACAATTTTTGCCCTGCAAATATGTAACTCACTTCATATTTAACCTCCTTCATACTCCATAATCACGTTCTGACATAGGTTATAGTCATGCACTTGTACCCAAATTCAGGGTGCTGGTTCCAGGAGTTCTCCCGGAAACAAGCTCCGCTTAGCTGCGTGGACTCCTTGGACATCCAGCTCAAAAGCCAGCACGAAAATGACCACTTAATTGCCCCTCCGACTTGCGTGACTGTACAACCCTTACTAACACTATGAATGAGCGGTTGTAGCTTATTGGGTGGTTGTAGCGGGCTGTCAACAACTGCCTTTGGCTAAGGACTACTTTTAGCCTTCTCATTTATGATTTGCCTTTGCCTACTGCATAACACCATTCCCTCGGGTCTGCAACACCTCTTCACCCGCTTCTTTATGCTTGTTTCCGCTTCCTAGCTGGTACTGCCGCAACTTGATTTTACGTCTTCTGTGGTTAACGTATGGTTTATTGCGTCGCTGGGATAGAGGGAGGGGCACTCCTGGTTACCTGTTGTTGGGTGACGGTAAATACAAAAATGTGCTAAGATTCTTTGTTTATTCCTGTGCCACGCCACTGTCCTTGCAGCTGATTGGAACTGAAAGGCCCAATTACAAACCATTTCCTTATCTGGCTTATCAAGTTTATTTTTCGCTGAAAATCATCACACCTTCTCCCCAACACTCACTGATGATTGTTTGCTCAGGAAACAAAAAGTGTGCTCTAGCAATTATGGCTATATGATTAGATGGGCGAAATGCAAAGAAGTGATGATGCTGCTGATGCACACAAGGCTCATGATAAAAAGATTATTAAGTGCTATCCAAGAAACCAACAGCAATACTTTTCCACCTTTCTCAGCACCCAGCATCTCGCACAAGTTGCAGCGACTATGGCAATGATGACTCACAAGCAATGCTTGTCAACGCACAAATTTGTTAAGGCAGTATTACGTGCATTAATAATAATTCAGCACTATATTATCAGAATCCTCAAGTGAAAGACAATTTTGCAAAGCTGCACCATGCGAGCTTATGCCAAGCATGTGCATTGATGAGCTGCATCGAACTGTCCCTGCTGCCTAAGTGAATTGCTAGTATAATGACATGCAATGGATTAATTACATAATGTAATACCTCAATAGCCACAAAATGTTGGCAACTGCTTTCGAATTGCCTTTGAAAATCCCTGCAGCATGGGTGCCAGTTCTTTTCAGTTTGCCGACATCACTACCTTGCCATGTTCAAACACAAACCTAAAAATAGAGACAGGTATCAATATATCACACACTATTTGCCATTAGATTTGAAGAATACCGAAACAATGTTTTCTCTCAGAAGTGCAAACCCCGCACACACACTCCCCATCACATCAAGACCAATACAAGCCACTGGCACGCACCACCAGTGATCACACCCATTTCAAGCGCCTGATACACACTCTTATATCATAGTTGTGATCCCACACTTGCACAACCCGCAGGGCTATTAAATTTCAGATTTTCTCGCAATTTCCGCACAGGTTTTTGGCTATAGTACCACATTTTACCGCAAGCTCCCTTCAAAACAAAGTCTCAACCGGGGTTCATGGTGGTGTAACTGAAGAGGTTATACTTGAAGAACGCATTTTTTTGTTGAAGCTTTAAATTTCCCCTACAATAGGTGCTAAATATTCAGTAATGTATATATATATATACATATATACACATATATATATATATATATATATATATATATATATGTATATATACATATAATATATATATATATATATATATATATATATATATGTATATACATACATATATATATATATATATATATATATATATATACATATATATATATATAAATATATGCATCAAAAATTACTGTAACATTTCCCTAATTTTATAATGCCTTGGCG